CATAGCTCAAGATGGATCGCGCCGGGCGAATCCAGCCGAGGACGGTGCCCCCCGGAGCCCAGGAGGCACCAGCAGACTTACTGGGGTCGAGGGGGGGCTTGTCTCCGTTGGCCTCGCTCTCGCCATTGTTTTCCGCGAACGGCCCGTCGTTGGCTTGCTTATCCCTATCAGCTGGAGGAGAACCACAAGCATAGTCAGTCAGGGAGAGTGCGTGCGTGTCAAAGGTGGTACAGTCACCCCTCCGGGCCGCCGTGAGCGGTTCAGGTTTAATGCCGTAATGCCGGCTGGCCGGCAAGCCGGGGAAAGACAAGGAGCCCGGCATAGGCTCCAGCCAGGAACGCATGTACCTGCCGTCGGGCGCTGCCATGGGCGCCTGGTGATGCACGTAGGGGTGGTAGACGGCCGGCACATTGTTGGCGCCCGGCGGGTGGACGGCGTTCCAGGAAGGGCTGAAGACGGACGTCTTGGACTGGAAGCTGCAAGGGGTGAATTCGGGGTGCTCGCCCAGGGCCGCCTGCCTGGAGGGCTGCCCCAGAGGAGCCGAGCCGTAGCGGGAGGGCACCAGCTCCTCGCTCTCGTGGAGGAGGAAAGAGTCCACGTAGTAATTGCTGAGCGTGCCCGAGGAAGACATCGCCACCCAAGGCGAGCCAGACCCGGGGGCCCCCGAAATGTTTTTAAAAGGAAGAAGCCAGACCCGGGTGAAATTATGAAACTGCAGATTTCATGTAACAACTTGGTCCCTGCGAAGAAGTACAGTCACCTAATAAGTTGAAGGCTGCCTGTCCGCTCATTGGCTGCCGGGAGTCACATGGCCGGGCAGCAGAACAATAAAGTATAAATCAGTCCGCAGGCTATTAATGGGTCAGTGTTTTCCAGTCATCATTTTTTATAGGAAAGCCATATGTTTTTAATGCAAAGGGATCGGCGAGTTCTACAGCGAAGTTTGTTTTAATTGTGGCCAAATGAGTTTGAAAGATCAAGTTTTGGGATGGGCATTGGCCATCTTCCTTCAGCGGACTATTTTATATCATAATTAATCATCCCATCAATGGTCTGTGCTCTATGGGGAAAAAAAATCAAAGGGGGGGGGCACCCAAAGAGAAATACAGAGAGAGAGAAAGGGGGGGGGAGGTCTACCCTTCTTGTGATCAGAGACCTTCACATAAAATTATACAATAATTGAAGCAATAAAAAAGCAAAATAACATTGGCGGCATACTGTATTTAAATATATATTTATTATATTTCATAAGGAGTTATTGTCTCAGGAGCCACTGGGTTGTTATTAAGTCAGTAACTACGAGCATATTCATTTGCAGCGCTGTGTTTCACAGCAGTAAAAATTTACGAGTGCCTGGAAAGGTTAAATTATACTATTGTGTTTAGTTTGGGAACTCACTGTAAATAATACCCTGCCATTGAGTTCACAGCTAAACGGAGCTGGCAGGCAAAAGTCAAATCCAAGACGGTTCTCCTCTTCCGAAAGAGGGATCTGCCTACTCCGGGAGCAGGCGGCGGCGGCGGCGGCGGCGGAAAGGCACCAGCTCAGGTGGAAATTTGCATTGGTACAGGGGCACCTCCGAGCCCAGGGTTAGTGGAGCGACAACCGGGAATCCTTTGACTGTAAGTCCCGGGCACCCACCCTCAGACATGCTGAGAACAGCTTTTTTTTGCCCCCACCCCTACCACGAACTCCTGTAGCGGATTATCACAATTATTATTAACCGACTCACATCAACCCAGCTAACATATTAAGCAGGGCAAGTGTGGGAGGCAAGGATATTTCAAATGTCTGTTTTACATAATATCTATGTATTCATATACATATGCACAGATATATACATATGCACTATGGCTAATGTTCATCCTTTATGTGCATGCAATTTGTGCAGACTTAGCCAGATCACCTTCGTTGGTATTCACGGACAAATATCCCAAAAAAAATCCATTTTAAAAGACAGAGACAGGGAGGGAGGGGGGAGCAGCTACAGAGAAAGGGCAGCACATGGACTTTTAAAGAAGAAACCAAAAGTACACAGTCCACCCTCCCCCTCGATCAAGTTGATTGCAAGGAGAACCCATGCCCAGTGGTTCGTAAGCCGCCCGTCTCTCTCCCTGGAGTATAACCAACCACACATTTTGTCCAGAATCGATAAAATGCAGCTATGGCGGAATGTAAGACTGTGGGTATGTGTGGTAGGGGAAAGGAATATTCCACCCCCCTCCCCACATGGCAATTAATTCCCAAGTATGCATGAAAGCAAAAGGAGAAAGAGGCTCGTCGGCAGCTTGGCTTAAGAGGCACACACACACACACACACACACACACACACACACATATCCCGTTGCGTTTTATATACAAAGGATCTCATTCCTTAGTGACCGGATTTTAAGTGTAAATAGTTATTTACTTCCTGACAACGAGCTATGGCTTCTCTGAGGGGCATGGGAACACCCGGACCAAGCGGAGGGTTACAGTCCTTTGGCAAAAGGAAAGGGGGAGGCGATGTTCAGATCAAGTCCAGTGTTGTGAATTAAAGTAATGGCTCATGTCTATGACATTTGCATTTATACTCTAGTTCTCTCTTTCTTCAAGGTTTGGAAGAAAAAAAACCCAAACAAACAGACAAACAAACAACCCGTGGCTCAACACGGGGGAAGGGAAAGAGGATCTGTGCCTAAGGAGTTCTGGTTTGGTTTGGTTTTTGGTTGTTGTTGTTTTCAATTATTTTTAACAGTGTTATTCAGCCTAGAGACTGCCAAATAGTAGGAGAATCGGGTACTAATTAAATTCATGTGTGAATATTCGGTATGCAAAGGGTATGTTTCTCATTAGTTTTACACACCGTCAGCGCTCTTTGCTTGTTTCCTAACTCTCCAACAGCTAAATCTTCAGAGAGAAAGAGAGACAGAAAAACCCCTTTAATTAGCAGTCACTTCTCCTTTTTTTGACACAAGCTCTGGAGATTACAAGAAACAATTAATATTTTATGAATCCAAATAGGATCAATTTAGAGCAGGAGTGGCAAGCAATACTACACACGCACGCACATCTATCTTCAAATGCAGACAAAGGTTTTCCAATTAAAACTGCAGGTCGTTTCTGTGATTTCTGTATACATATGTACGTATGTACACGTGTATGCACCTATGCATGCATATGAAACCAGACAGATAGATAAATGGATAATATATACAGATATAGGTAGATAAAATGCATATGTATGTTTCTATGTCCATTATTCTGATTATATGTCTGCATATATATACTGTATATGCAATAGACCGATGCATAGCTATTAGTCTGATTAGCCTGTTTCTTTCCTGGAAAGACGGAAGTTTTACGTCATTTTTGTTTAAAATCGAAAGTCAGTTGTTGTGAAATATGTTCTTGGAACTTCCTTCCTCCTAGAAAGAGAAAAAATAATCTTAACAGCAGGATTCCTCAATATTTTTATTCATTTTTGGGCCACGGAAACTGCAGTGGTTTTCACTTCTGATTAGCCTGCTAATATAGGAAGTAGAACCAGAACAGAAGCATAAATCCTCCTTATATTTCTACCATTGGTGACTGCTAAACAATTGCAATTAAAGTATCTAGCTGGATGAGATAATATGTTAGTTCGATATCAGCGGAAAGGCTAAATGAGAGGAAGGAACAAATAAAACACTTGGGAGGTCACTCTTACCGTTTATTTCCATTTTCTACAAAGATTCGGCATTCAAGACAATTTTTGTAGGGAGGGTTGTGACAATTTTTCACATTGTGTTTGCCATGTTCGTCATGTAATGTTTATCGTGTAATGTAATGACAAACAGTGTGTGTGTATAAACAGAGGAAGAGCCATGCCCTCTTGCGCAAAGCTGAAGCTCTCTCCCTTGTGCAATATATGTTACTTTTCCAAGCAAATATATTTTGGGTCCAAAGAGGGTAACCGCAAGAACATGGACCCCTATTCTGAAAATAAATATTTAGGACTTCATTACAAACAACCCTGTTTTGGCTTGCAGCTTCCAAACATGGAAAATTCATATTTGGTGACTCATAACTAGAATTTGGAGATATTTTATCCCAAATTGTACCATACACTTAAGAGTTTGTATACCCCCGTCATAGCACAGTCCTATATACATTTGCTCAGAAGTAAAAGTCATCAGCTTCAAAGAATCTTACTTGCAGGGCAGTGTAAGAACTGGGATGTATGGAATCACACTTCAGAGAAACATTATATATATATAGATGTGTTTGTGTGTGTGTACATAAGTACACACATATATATCTATTCCAGTCTCCTCATGCTGACTACTGTGATGAAATCTGTGTTGCTATAGAACTGATGCACAGCAACCTCCGTAAAGAGTGTGTTTGTATACGTAGGCATGTATATATCTTTTTAAAATAGCTCCTTCCGTAAAGAGTATGTTTGTATACGTAGGCATGTATATATCTTTTTAAAATAGCTCATTCTTTATTTGAATAAATATATCTTATGTGATTAGCACTATATACAGTTGTAAAGAACAGTCATTTTGTTTGAGGGTTATTTTATTTGTGTGGGATAAATAATCGAGGAATCAGCAAAGAGTTCAGAAAAAACAACAACGCAGGAGTATACCAACCGAAACGTGGTTGCTTCGTGGTTGAATTTATGGAGCAACCTTCTGTTTAAAATATTTGCATCATGTAAGGCATGTCCTTTAGAACCAAGGCTGAGACATGTGGCCTCATTCACACGAAGCCAGAAACCGTGTGCTCGCGTTACCTGTGTAGACATTATGCCTCTGTATGATGCACTTTCAAGTCAGAACCGACTAATAGCGATTCTAGCAGGACTTTCAAGGTAAATGAGGTATTTTAGGGGCGGTTTTTACCGGATCCACATCCCCAGTGAAACCCTAGCTAGGTGGGGATTCGAACCCAGGCCTCCTGAGTCCTAATCCCTTACTCGATCTACCACGCCACACTGGGCATCTTGCCTATGTCGACTCGCAGGTATATACTGTAGATAAGCAGGCCTCACAAGAGACTGCCTAAGCAGCAGGTTTGCAACGGGGGCAGCGCGGCGGCGAGGTTGAAACACATCTAACCACCTCCCCGAACCGGGAAAGGTGACGGGAACGGACTAAAAAGCAAGTTCCAGAGGCCCTTTGAAACCGCCACCCGGTCACCCCCCCCCGCCCCCAGCGTGGCCGCACGTGAGAGAGAGGTCTTGTCCATTTATCCACCCGGTAAACAGCGTGTCGCTGGGTGCAAAGAGGACGCGGCAGCGCCTTCGCCGCCGGCTGGGCCGCTGAACCTCAAAGGCGAGGCGCCGC